AGTAGGGTCTATACTCATATCTCGGCCCACCCAACCCCTCCCCACCACCATCAAATATACTCTGTCGAACCACACTCCTTAACCCATCCGCCCCGACCACCAAATCCGCATACACAGGTTCACTCCCATCCACGAAAGTAACCATATTCCGCTGGGTAGGATGGGAAATCACTCTCGCTACACGCTTATTATACACGATGATGTTCTCCGGGATGCGCCTGCGCAGGGAGAGCCAGAAGTTGTGCCGGCTTGTGCCGAGGAGGTGGAGTGCTTTGCTTCTGTCCCCAGTACTTTCACTACTTCCGCTGCTGTCTCTGCTGCCGCTGGATGATGAGGATGACGGTAGTTGGATTAGTGTCTTCCCGTGCTTATCTTTCAGGTTGGTGTGGTCGAGCATGTAGCCGCTGCTGACGGCGTCGCGGAGGATGCTCTCGTCGAGGCGTTCGAGGACGCGCAGGCCGTTGGGGGCGATGCCGAGGCCGCCGCCTATGGTTATTTTGTTTGTGGGGTTGGGGGAGCTGGTGCTGGGGTATGCTTCGTAGATGGTGAATTCGTGGTCTTGGGGAGGTGATGAGGGGGGTGGTGGGGGGAGGTGTTTTCGGAGGGTGAGGTATGCGGCGCAGCCGGAGATGCCGGCGCCGATGATGATGATTTTCATGGTGGTTGTTATTTGTGAAGTTGATGGTGTAGATGTAGGTATGGGTTAGGTGTTGGTTGAGGTGGGGATAAGCTTGTGGTGGGGAGTCATTATGATGTTGTTGCCTACGGGATCAGCCGATGGTCGGAAGTTTATTATTTGTTACCTGGTTGGGGTCTACTTTGGTTCTATAAGGGTAGAGTTTGATGGATCGGGCGGTGGGTGTATGGCGTCTAGCCTTGGTATTATGTTCACACTAATGTACAAATGTACAGGAAGGGGCGTTTCACAGAAGATACAGGCTAATAGATCGGAATGTCATACGCATCCAGATCATACAACCATGTGTCAATCGACTTCTGGTCGTACACGCACTCCATCTCCGTGCCGTTGTTCTTCCACAGAGGACGCAGAGGCCACGAGCAGATCTTCTGCTCCTCTCCCTCGAGATCGCCGCTCAGCACGGTGCCGTTCAGAGTCACCGGCTCAATGCCCTTCTCGACCCAGTTCATCAGGTCGCCGAGAGAGTTCTGGGGGTAAGGTCCGTTGGGCTGCAGAGAGTTGGTGTTGCAGTGGGAGGCACCGGGAACCAGGTACAGACGGTAGAACTCGTTCAAGGCTTCAACCGAGGCGTTGTAGGTCTTGTTGGGGAACATGGTGTCGCGGACAGACTCGAAGTAGCGCACCGAAGACGCGGGAGGGATGCTGTTGTCCGATTCACCGTGGTAGTGGATGACCTTGCCGCCTGCAGCCTGGAAGCGGGACAGGTCGGGCCAGGTGGTCTGCAGGACATCCTCGTAGCGCTGGAGGCCCTCGAGCATCCAGTCACGCAGGGTGTCGTAGGTGACGTTGTCCAGAGTCGAGAGGTTGTCAAGATCCAGCAGCTGCAGTCCGTGAGTCACCCACTCACCACCGAGCTCGGAGATGTCGATACCGTAGGTGCCGGTGGTCGAGTCGTAGGTGGTCTCTGCATCGGTGAACTCCGAACCAATGCGGTACCAGAAGTAGGCCTGACGACCCTGAGAGTCCTTCAATCCGTCCAGGATGGTCTGAGCGACGCGCACACCCTCCGCCGTGATGGTGCCGTTCTGGGCCGGGGTGGTCACACCCATGCTGGTGGTGGCGTTGCAGGCGTAAGGCTTACCGATGGTGGACTTGAGGTCGAAGTTGAGCTGGCACAGATCTGTGCGGCCGATGACGCCGTCCTTGCGGCCATCGAGTTCATCGCAGGCGTCAATGATCAGGGTCACCATCTCGGAGAACTCGCAGTTCTCAGGGTAGTAGTCGAGGGTCTGCTCCACGACCTGAGGCACCAGGTGGTTCACCTGCTGCTGGCCATAACGGATGGCAGGAGCACCAATGACGGCACCATCCCACTCCTCGGGGAAGCGCTGCACCTGACTCCAGCCTTCACGACCACCCTCGGAGCAACCCTGGTAGTAGGCATAGAGCTTGTCCGACATGCTGTAGAAGTTCTTGGTGAACGCCTTGCCGATGGAGGACATCTCATGGTGGGCCTGGTAGCCGAACATGTACAGGGCATCGTAGTTGGCGGTACCATTCACCAAGGGGTACACAGAGGAGAACTGGGTGTCGAAGCTGCCAAAGCCACCGTCGGTCCGGCCGGCGACGGCACCGTAGGGAAGACCAGCAGGCACGTTGGAGGCAACGTTGATGGCAAAGCCAAAGCCACCGGTGGACACCCAGCGGTTCTGGAAGTCATCAGGAGTGGGCATCCAGAATTGCAGCAGGACGCTGTCATCCTTGCCGGCATGAGAATAAGTCATGGTGATATTGCAGTAATCGTAGGTTCCGGCCGGGTAGTAGTCGGATCCAGAGGTGGATTCATTGTAGACGGGAACCGCAGTGACACTGGAAGGGTTGGTGACCACACCCTGCACCAGGCCGGATGCGGGCACGGCGGCCTTTGCGTGAGCAACGGTACAGACCTGCTCGAGAGTCGCGGCGCGCGCGAGGGCCGCCGCGGAGACGGTCCAAAGGAGGAACTTGGACATAATGAACGACTGACCAAAGGTAAAGGAGAGACTGAAGGAGGGACTGGTTGAGTAGAAAATTGACTGCAGCAGGGATACCGTAGCCATTATATACGTCTGAGAGAATAATTGAATGGTTCTGCAACTATTGCAAGCAACGTAATCTACCCCACCCACGAAGCATTGGAAACAGCCATCTTGATTGAGGATGCGGTCGTCCGCCGGTTCGGATGCAACCGAGAGAACTGATCCGGCCGATGAACCTGAAAGTGGCAAGGTTTGGGTGCTGCCTGGCGAGAAGAAATAAAGAATGGATCAAGGATGACGAGGCCCTGCAGGTACAGGTTCTGCAACTGATGATAACGAGATCGGGTCTCAGCAGTTGGCATGACTGGGGGATTAAGCTTAAAGCTGGTCCACCAGAAGAAGAGCGTTGAAACGGGCTAACGCGGCTGGCGGCGATCATCTTCCGCAAAGGTGAAAGTCTCCGCTGCACCCTCCCGCTTTTCAGGAAGATTCTCGGCAGTGGCTACTCGGTTCCTCTCCAGAACTGCATGTTTCCAGGCACTGAGAACATGCCCTACACTCTAATCTCCGAATCAGGTCGGGTGAGGTTGCCCAACAAAGACAGTCGGCCAATCCAGTGATCAATGGGATGATCGGAGACCTTGAAGCTCCTAATCAATTACTCAAGCAGTATCCATCGATGTTTGGGTTATACGAGCTAGGGGCTGTGGGCAGGTCAGGAACTGCAGTCGTACGAGGATGAGGGTTGCAAGATGCACAAAGTAGGCAACTAGGTATGGTCCGGTTATCGGATTGGAATGGGTACATAGGATGAGCCCACCCTGCTGTCTTGTTGCATGCCATGGCTCCCAGAAGATATCCCAGACAGTGTACCTATTCCTACTCAGACTGAATGTATTCAATGGCAACGGGCATGACGACCAGACCGGCTAGAGGAGGCCTAGGTAGCAGCCAGACCATGGTCTGTTGTGGGACAACTCGTTGCAATTGTATTGTGAACCAGACAATGCTGGTTCGAAAGCAGTCAATCCATTGTGTCCGTTGGTTGCAGTAGATCCTCAGCAGAATCACTACTATTGGATCAGATAACGCTGCTGCTGCTGCTACTGCTGCTGCTGCTGCATACAGGTCACAACGGCTTCTCCTCTCAGATGCGGCATCACAGGATAAGGCGAGAACACCATGAATTCTGGTGAACTTGTTCACTAGTAGAATAATTGACGAGCGAGGCGGTAAGCGGTATCCCTTGTTCTGATCTGAAATCTGCAGTCTGCACCCTTTGGGACAATTGCAAGCAGGGTTCCTATAGCGTACAACATAGTAGGGATATGGTGGGATGATGCGTCCAGGCCCACAGGGGTATTCTGGAATAGTCTAGTCTAATGAAAAGTATGTTTGTGGGGGGACAAAGCTGCAAGGGAGAGAATGACTGGAGGAGACGCTGTCAGCACGTGACTCGCACAGACAGACATTTGGCCTCAGGCAGATATTCTACGGGGAACCGTGGACGGAACAGCCATGGATGGATGGTACCTTGCCAGAGTTTTAACTACCACAATTCCATTCAAGTAGATGCGATGCAGGGAAAAGAATCACCCAGCGGGCCCCGAGATGGCCCGATGCAACAAGTGTTGCAATCAGACAATCTTTTGAAGAAGATGTTACACTGGAAATGGAGAAGATGTCTGTCACACCGCCTCCCAACTAGGAAGGACCATTTCTGCACCCTGACTATTCCTGATCGGGACACTGGTTGAACCCTGCAGAAAACCGGAGGTTCAAACCATGATAATGGCCAGGAAGTTCTAGAACACATAGAAACTCGTGAACTATATATTAGCAGTAGAATCGTGGTGTATTGTGTTGATTTGTGAATATACCTAATACTAATAATCAAACAGAGCCACCGGTAGCGAATTTTAATAGGTAAGATACCGTTCAAGTCAGAAATATATATATGGGTATCCGGCATTATCTATTCACGAACTTAGCGAACAAGTTGAACTACTACTACTACTTGAAGCCGAATTGAACTCGTCATCCAGTTCTAGTCGTCAAAGGAAGTAACCAGTAAAGACTGTCGGTCTATCATCGAAATATTTCGCCAGTTCAGGCATATATTGAACATTTGCTAAGTATGATGTCTTTCGCATCACCGCAAGGAAGCAGACCAGCAAGGGGTCCAACAGCAAGAAGGGTCACCTGATACTATACGGAATGCAAAGCTGGCACCCCATGGGAACAATCGGGACATAGATGCACTCGGCAGTAACTGCGCTTATGGAGCATGCTCAGAACTACGATGCATACGGGCTGTCGAGGGAATTACTGAGGTTGGTAGGCTGGTAACCTGTTATAAAATATATCTACAAACCCACAATTCGGTCGATTGCAATGCGCTTGATCATGCAGCTGGATGGAAAGAGCTCAAGTCTAAATTAACATTTGTCTATCATCCGGGCCAACCATGGCAAGCAAAAAATAGTTTTGATGGAAAAAATATGTATCAAGAAGTGAAGGTCGACCGAAAAGAACACCGGAACACAAAATCGGGGCTACCCAAAAACGAGAGAACTCCTATCACCAAGAGACGAGGGTGGCGGGGAGGGAAACCCGTGTCATCCGTTCATTTCCTTACAAAGCAGCCAGGGTCATGAAGACGGCCACAACGGCACCGAAGACGGAGCCGGAGAGGGTGCTGGCACCGCTGAAGGCAGCGGGGGAGGAAGAGCCAGCGGCCGCAGAGCCGGAGGTGGAGGACTGGCCGGAGGTGGCCGAGGTGCCGGTGCTACCAGAGCTGCCCGAACCGCTGGAGCCGGAGCCAGAGCCGCTGGAGATGGCACCGGCAGAGGGACGAGCAGAGGCGGAACCGCTGGGGCGGAGGGGGTAGGTGCCGTTACCGAAGACAGTGCCGTTCACGCCGGGGCGGCCAACAGTGAAGCTGGGGGTAGCAGAGGCCTGAGCACCGGAGGAGGAACCGACAGCCTTGCTACCGGCGGCGGAAGAGGCAGCAGCAGAGACAACGGCGGACGAGGAGGAAGTGGTGGAGTTCTTGCAGGACAGGTCGAACAGGGGGGTGGTGGAGAGCTCGCTGCCGACGATACCGAAGCTGGGGTTGGGGGTGGTGGGGGAGGCATCCTGCAGGATGTACCACCAGGTGTTGACGTTACCGAAGAGAGGGCAGCCGACCTCGTCCCAGAACTTCTTAGCATTGGCGATGTTGGCGACAGCATCACCCTCGGAGTCACCGCTGACGGGCCAACCAGTCTCAGTGATCCAGACCTCCTTGTCACCGGCGACAGCCTTGGTCTTCTCGACGGACTCCTCGAAGAGGGACTTGGCGTTGTCGATGGAGTTGGCCATGCTGCTCTGGAAGAAGGGGTAGCCGTCAAAGCCCAGCCAGTCGACGGCCTCGACGACGGCAGAGTTGGAGCTGTTGGTCCAGGAGTCCCAGGTGTCGACGTGACCGATGGAGACGTCGGCGAGGGCGGTACCGGAGATGACGGAGCGGACCTCCTTGATGTAGGCGACAAGCTCGTCGGGGTTGACACCGACACCGGCATCGGCCTCGACACCCTCGACGGAGTTGCGGTAGAGATCCTCACTGCCGACGGAGATACCGACGACGAGCTTGCCGAGCTCCTCACCGTACTGGGAGATGGCGGTCTTCAGGGCGGTGATTTCGTTGTCCATGCCACCACCGGAGGCCCAGAGACCGAGCAGAAGGGAAGTATCCTGGGCAATGGCGGCGGGGATGGCCTCGATGACATCGCTGGTGGAGTAGGCTTGCTATGGGGCAGTTAGCAGATGCGCAATCATTATATGAGATCCATTGTCATCTGGGGCAGACGTACGATCATGGTGTAGAGACGGGCGGAGGTGAAGCCGGAGGTGGTCTTGAGGTTCTTGGCGGCCTTGAACTCGGCCTCGAAGTCGGCCTGGAACTTGGAGCTCTCATCGGAGAACTTGTTGCCGTAGTTGAAACCCTGGTAGGCGGCCTCGGAGGTGGCCAGGGTCATGGCGAAAGCGGCCAGCTGGGCGAGCTGCATCTTGGAGAGCATGGTGACGGTCGTGAAAAAGAACGTAAGGGATTATAAAGAGTGGGTAAGGTGGAAAAGAGAGTGAGACGCTACACAGAAAGCTGAGAGCGATGGAGGGAGTGTAAGAGAAAGAATGGAATGAACAAGGAATAAACCGAGTTCTGAGTTGGAGAGAGAGAGAGGATTGAAGAGGAAAAGAGAGAGAGAGGAAGAGGAGAAGAGGAGAAGAAGTAAGATGTATGAGGGGAAAAGAGAGAGAGACGACAAGGGAAAGGAAACTAAGGGAGGCAACCGAGACATTCTAGACTCGAGGCCCGACCAGATTGGCCTGAACCCGGAAATTCGGCCGCCCCGTCAGTAAATCTTGTAGCCAATGGGAGAGACTCGTGCCTGAGTTGGACTCCACTCCACCACTGGGAGAGAGTGGAGTTGTGGCTGCCACATGGTCCAATCAGGAATGTCCCCGCCGGGATGACAAAAGAGCGCAGTGGAGCTCTGGTGACCTTGGCGAATGCTGGTTGGATCCAGGGACAGCCACGAAATTGACACCCCGGCAGCCGAGTGGCAAATCACAGAGGCACAATCAAGACTAACTATCCAATAGTAACAGGATAAAAATAGCAAGCTATTCTTAGGGCCGATGCTTGTTCTTCATAAAAATAAACACCCATTTCATTTCAACGGTAATTAACTGATTTAACTGGTTTGAATGGATAGTAACTGGCAGAGTGGGGAGAGTTGCTTCTAGCCCTTCTCCTTATGCCCCCCTGATTCTCTTTTTCTTGTCCTTTGATCCATTTTGTGGATATTGCCTTGCCAGCGTCCATGATGGATTCCGGCACGGGTTCCCCCTCTTCCCCCCTCAGCGGGGGCTTTTCAGGGAGGTCACTTTTCTTTCGATTTTGGGGGGGTGACATCCAGGCCGGGCTTTGACCGTACCAAGTTAGGTTTTGGTGTTGGTTGACGGGAAAATAATCAGCAATCCTTTCCTTCTTGGATGAACGGGTTTTCCATGTTTGGCCCCAACCGGCTGACGCGGTCGGGCAGAACATCCATGCAGGAACGGTCCAGGCACACCCAGGGGTTCCTACAGTAGTGGTTGATGCTAATTAGTTACTATGGATTGATTCATCTACAGGGTAAATTCCCCTGCTCAGCACTGATCACATCGTCTGGTTATCACCAGACAGGTCATCTGCCGAGCATCTCTTCCTGCACCATCATCACACCACATCAACGCAAGCAACATTGAGGCAATCCCAACCTGCCTGCCAGCATCAATCCCGGGGAGGGGGGGGAGAATATTTGGCCCCGGAGGATTGTGTTTTGTCCCGTAGAGGCTGAAACCCGACCCCAACTGTTGCACTGCCATACATAGTCATCATGGTAGTAGTGTTGGTGTTTCCAATTGCAGAGATGTGGAAGAGTAGTACATACAGGCAGATCTGGTGCAACCTGACAGATTTTAGATCTACCTATTTAACTCCAGGAATTGATCTTGCAACCCTCGGAACATGGTTGCGATGGTGAAAATTTCATTGTGAGGGTTACAAAAAAGACAAAAGGCACATGGCTGGGTGGGATCGAGATCTGACCCGAGGTTACTTGACTTTGTGACTAAACAACGGATCTCGTCGGTCCCTGAGAGACACGCATCCAGCAAAGATCGTCCCATCCTCCACTTCCCATCTTCCCATCTCTTCCGGTCAGGGCTCAATTCCTGTACCTGCGTTGGCACCGGTGAGTTGTCTACACCACTTCATCCCCCTGAGTGGTGCCTGATACAAGGCGATTTAAAAAGTAGAAACCGCACGCGACCGTGCAAAGTCGCCCTTTAGTCGTAGAAAATGGCCTCGTGGAGTCGGTTCCATGCCCAGATGTGCCTGTCCATCTCACTCAGAACCCGTAGCTTCTTAATTTAACCCTAGTGGCATTCAGCATTGGCCTCTCAGGTACGTTGTGCCTAGATTTCCTTGGAATATTCGAGGCATGACGCATGGCCGCCTTTATACCCTCCCCTCAGGGCTGTCAGCCCTTATTTCACGATCTTGTCAGCTCGATCGGTCGAACCATTCTCCAATCTCACGGTCGGGAATTGTTTCCGTACACTTCTGAAGACTGACACATCAATTATGAATCCAAAGAATGTTTCTGTCATTGTCTATGGCACGGTTCATTCTCACTGGACTCCCAGAAGCAAGGAAGGGTGGGTGCAAGGCAGCCATATTGTCCGATGGATCTTAATCGTCAAGGGACGCGGAATTATCCGCATAGTATTCACCAGCGATTGAATGTCAATTTACCCCTTCGTTGACCTCATATGAAATGAACATAGGTCTCGAAATGAACACAGGTCACTCATGAAATCACCTTCCACTTCGGGCACTGAAGATGATCCGGTCGGGGGCCGTCTCACTGTCAAACCACCCTATCTCTATAATTAACCTCAACAACGGTCACTGGCGATCCTATGGCGATCCTCCACCTTCACAATCCCATTGTATGACATACAAAATATATGGAAAGGGTTTCCGACTCCATATCAAAACCTCGCCTGTGGCCGCCCCCAAGGCCCCCAGGTCGTATTCCCATTCCTTCCCGGATTCCTGCGGGCTGGAAGGGCTGAAACGCTTCTTCCATCCTCGTACCCTGGATCGCTAAACACCATTCAGGGTCTTCTTTAGTCATTAGTGCTTCGTTTTGACTTTGGTCCCTGCAGAGCATGGGATCAGGGTCTAACAGTGCATGAGAAACGGTCGCAGGTCAACGGGGATAGCATCATCTGCTCAGCGTGGCAATCACCACCTGTCCTGTGAATAACCCGTTTTTAGCTGTAGAAACATCACTCATCAAACGTGAAGCTAAGAAAATAAAAAGAGAAATAAGAAGATTTCTCAACAGCTCTCAACGCGATGCTCAACATTAACCCCCCGCTGATGACACAGTGACGAGACATCGGATCTCCATCGACAAGCTCGCTCCGACTCGACTTGGGGGCCAAGCTCCACCAGACCTCAACTCTCTCGATAACAAGTGAATGGACATGATGTGAAGCGAGACCATCTACCTCGACGATGAAGATATAAATTGCCTGCTCGCCTCGACCATTGCTATCATCACCATCATCTTCCCTCTCATCGTTCCTTATCTACCTGGTTCGCTTCTATCATCACCCACGACCACTTCTCATCATGGCATTCAAAACCACCGCCGGTCTTGCACTCCTCGCTCTCGCGGGCTCCGTCAAAGCCCAGTCCGTGGATGGCTCCAAGTACAACAGCCCGACTAATGGACCCCCGGCTAGCTACTTTGCCGCGGCCACGACCCTGCCTGTCGCAGCCCTGCAGTCCGCTGCAGCGAAGGCGAGCTCTGTACCATCCAAGGCTACCTATCCTGTCAATACGGACAAAAACTCTCCCAAGTCGACTATCCATAGCGATTGGGTCAAGTTCAACCAGGTATGTTGCTACCTCCCTCCGATGGGTGGCAGAACCCTCGCTAATGACTACAGGGTGCCGCTCTCAGCTGGGTAGCCGACATGGATGTCGACTGTGATGGCATAGACTACAAGTGCAAGGGTAACGGGGATGGCCTACCCGAGACCAACTGGGGAGCTCTGTCCGCTTATGAAGTACCCTGGATTGTCATCCCAGACCAGTTCCTCACGGCCAACGAGGACTTGCTTCCGGGTAACAACGTTGCCGCAGTGATCTGGTGAGTCTGCCCTTCACTTTCTGAACCATCATGTTGACTGACCTCCTTAGCAACGGCAAAATGTACTACGGCATCCTGGGTGACTCCAACGGCGACGACCCCGAGGTAACCGGCGAAGCCTCATGGCTCATGGCCCGCACCTGCTTCCCAGACGACGATCTCAACGGAGCCGAGGGACACGCCGAAGCAGACGTAACCTGTAAGCCCTACACCCCGCTGACCTAACATCGGGCTATCTAATATAGAAACAGATATCGTCTTCACCGGCGACGACGCCGTCCTCCCCAGCAGTGCCCTGGACAAGAACTATATCACCAACTTCAGCACCCTGCGCTCAATGGGCGACAAGCTGGTCGGAGCTCTCGCGTCTAACTTGGGTCTCTCCAAGTCCGGCTCTGGCTCTGGCTCCAGCGCCAGCGCCAGCGTGCCCTCCCAGACCACCTTGGCTACGAGCGCCGCCAGCACGCCGAGTCCTTCGGGCTCCACGGCCACCTGTTCCTGGGAGGGACATTGCGAAGGTACGTGGACGCTCCGGTCGATACGAATACAATGGCTCATATTGATGTTTTGCAGGCGCTATTTGTTCTACTGAGGATGACTGCTCGGATGATTTGGTCTGTGATAGCGGGAAGTGCAGCGCTGCTGCTGATGATGAGGATGACGACGAGGACGATGAGGACGACGACGATGATGATGAGGAAGACGAGGACGATGATGAGGATGACGAGTGATCAACAACCTACAATCATATCGGAGATATTAACCCTCACAGCTCAAAGTCTTCTGATCCTTCTTAACCCTCATTTACCAAACCATATATTTAATAAAACTACCTATAATCAAACAACCTTCCAAAACAATCCCACCCAAGAAAACTCCCTGTTCAATAAACAAAAATAAAATCCTCATTCCTCAAATCCGTCGTATCCGAAAATCCCTTATCACCATCTACACCCGCCCTCTCCCCCGTCACATTGACATCCACATTGGCACTCACATCCTCCACCTCAACCACCTTCCCCTGCTCCACCGCCTTCTTCCTACCCATAGACTCATCCACAATCCGCGCCGACTTACCCAATGCCGTCCTCCGTCGTGCATGTTTCCGATTCAGGTATATGAGGTATAGATTAGCGAGACTGCCGGAGTCAGTTAGACTCTAATGCCATTTCACATATAGAAAGAAGAGAGGGAGGATGTCTAGACGTACACAGCAAAAACAGCTACCAGCACAAACAAAATAAGATTCGATATAAGACCTGGTCGATAAAGCGGTGCTTGGGAGGTGGAGTAGAGTTGGGGGCCGATGACCTATTCCATTAATTGCGTTTAGCTATGAACCTTACTCTAGGATGAATTATAGTTATAAGGGGGTAGAGGAAGGGAGGCCTACATTTCCCGCACACATCCCAATCAACACCACAGCCGACGTACATTTCCTCTTCGTATCTCCGGCGGTGTTTTGCGCTTCCCAGGCATATACGAGGGGTGTTATGGCCGCGAGGCAGGAGACCTGTACATGCATCATCAATATACTACGTCTCCATGAGGAAGGGATGGAAGGGGTTGGGAGGGCATACCAAATAATACCCAAACAAAAGCACCCCCTTCTGCTCCCTCGGCACAACAATCATCAACAACGTCCCGATGGCAGAAATCCCCGCAAACAGGGCAATCACTAGCCCCTTCCTCTGGAACCTTGCAGCCAGCCATCCTCCGCCTAGGATGGCGATGACTTGAATCACGCCAAAAGGGATGTTGAACAGGATGGTTTCGAAGGATCCGTAGCCGAAGGATTTGATGATCAGGTTGCCGAATGTGCTGATGCCGCCGCTGGGGATTCTGCATCCGGTTAATTATAATGGTGGAATAGGGGAGGTTGGGAGGGAATGTACGCACGAGATAGTCACGATGAGAAAAAACCACAGCCACGTCTTCACGTCGTATGCTGTCTCCCAGACGTGATCCCATCGCCACTCCCGCGAGATGATGCCCATTTGGTTAGCCCGGAGACGTTCCACGGCGATGACTTTCTCGCGGCCGGAGAGGAATTTGGCTTCCATTGGGGAGTCGGGCATGAAGAGGAGGACTAGGGTTGAGTAGGCGACGGTGAGAAGGCCGCAGAACATGAAGATTATCTGTGGTTTTGAGGGTTATTATGGGCATATTGGGGATAGTGGGGAGACATACTTGGTAGGAGTAGAGGTTGTCGCTGTGGATGTGGCCGAGGCCGTAGGTGAAGAGACTACCGACCTGATGTTATCATTAGGATAATTTGTATAGGATGATGGTAGGGGGATTACTATGAAGGTGACCCCGTTCATCGCGTTCCATATCGCTGTTCGAAGGGTCTGTTCGCCTCGGCGCCACCACATTTGTGTGACGGCCACACATGAGGGTGCTGTTTCGTCAGTTCATCGTGACGAAGTATATGGGATAATATAAGACACACCGATCATAGCTTCAAATGTCCCCAATGTCAGCCGTAGCCCTAGTAGACTGGGAAAGTCCGTGCACGCCGCCATGATGGCCAGCGAGCTTCCCCATAACAGCACGGCTGTTCCGATGACTTTGCCGGTAGGAGCCTTCACAAGTAGCAAGGCTGCAAGTGGCTGCACCACTAGTTGAGCAAGGTACAGAATCGATCCAAGCCATGAGTACTGCTGGCCGTGTAGATGCGCATCCTCGACGAGGCCGAAGATGGACACATAAGACAGCGTCGACTTGTCCAGCTGTTGGAAGAAGTATGCTCCTAGCAAGAGAGGGAGGATACGGAGATCAATGCGTCTAAGGACGTGCTTTTCTTCTTCTGGACTGAATGTTCGCTCCTCCTCCTTGACAGTGGCTAGAAAGTCCGCTGCCTTTTCTCTTCCTGTGCCATGGGCCGTGGCATCCACGGCGGTGATGGCATCATGGGATTCCTCTGCACGGGTAGCCATCGCGAGTACCTGCTTGCAAATAACAGAATAGATACTCGGTGACTAGTATGTAATTTATATCCCTCAGCCAGGATAAACCGGCTAAAATCACTTCACTTCCATCAATCACAGCCAGATCAGATAACCACCGCGGCTATCCCACCATCAACCTCGTCGGCTGATCTAACATATTACCCCAGGATCTCCAACCCCAGTCTCCCCGCATTTCGGCCTTCCATCCGGTTGATGGAAAAACTCTGGCAATCAAGCTGCGTGGGGGGAGTGGGATGTCCGTGCGAGATACCAGATCTGCGCTTCGGGTGAGTGTGTCCCGACAGCATATAAACCAGCTACAATCATCCCCCTCATGAACATGATCACCAAGCTCATGAGACATTGTCACTTCAAACCAACGACACAATGAAGAAATACGCCCTCATCGGCACCGGTGGCCGTGCCATGTTCTTCTACATAGCCATCGTGCGTGACTTCCCCAGCACCGCCCAACTCGTCGCTTTCTGCGACACCAACTCCACTCGTCTGGCATACGCCAACTCGCAGATCCAATCGCTAGGCCACGCTGCGATTCCGACGTACAATGCGCGGGACTTTGACCGGATGATCGAGGAGACCCGTCCGGACGTGGTGATCGTCACCACCATCGACCGCACCCATCACCAGTACATCGTCCGTGCCATGGAACTGGGCTGTAACGTCATCACAGAGAAGCCCATGACCATCGACGCGCCGCGTTGTCGACAGATCTTCGACGCCGTGGACCGCACCCAGCGCCAGGTCCGAGTGACATTCAACTACCGTTACGCCCCGCATAACACACGCATCGCGGAGCTGCTGGCCAGCGGGGCAATCGGCGAGATCAATGCCGTGCATTTCGAATGGGTGCTCAACACCTCCCATGGAGCGGACTACTTTCGTCGCTGGCATCGCGATAAGAGAAATACTGGGGGTCTGCTGGTGCATAAATCCACGCATCATTTTGACCTGGTCAATTTCTGGCTCCGCACTCGACCGGAGACGGTCGTTGCGATGGGAGATCTGCGCTTCTACGGGAAAGAAAATGCTGAGCGACGCGGCGAGTCCAGATTCTACTCGCGCTCTCGCGGGAGTGAAGTGGCTCGGGATGATCCGTTCTCTCTGGACCTGGAAGGTAATGAGAAGTTGAAAGGGATGTACGCGGATGCAGAGTGGGAAGACGGATATTATCGTGATCAGAGCGTGTTCGGGGATGGCATCAGCATTGAGGACACGATGGGTGTGATGGTACGGTATGAATCCGGAGCTGTGATGACGTATAGTCTCACAGCGTATGCGCCTTGGGAGGGCTTCCGGGTGAACTTCACCGGGAGTAAAGGTCGGCTGGAGGTGGAGGTTGTCGAGCAGTCGTATGTTAACTCCGGGGGTGAGCAGGCTTTGGAGGGCGCTCTTGAACGACAGGCTATTCTTTTAAGGCCTTTGTTTGAGAAACCGGTGGAGATTGAGGTGCCGACGGGTCAGGGAGGTCATGGGGGTGGGGATCCCCAGCTGCTGAAAGATTTGTTTGGTACTCCCGATGCGGATCCTCTGGGTAGGGCTGCGACGCATGTTGATGGGGCGTGGTCTATTGCTACGGGGATTGCGGCTAATGAGTCTATGCGGAGGGGGGAGGTGGTGAGGGTGAGGGATTTGATGCCGTTGTGAGTTGCTTTTCTGGTTGGTTTAAGAGGTAGAATAGAATGCGTAATGGACCTGTGATACGGTAGAAAGTGATTTGTAGATTATAATTATGACTGGCTCTTGTCGATATGTGCAGCTCGGAGGTCACGAGTACATCTTTTACGAAACTGTCTACCTCGAGCACAAATTTAAGAGAGATGTGATGTATAAGCTTTTATGTAATCTGACTTGTTAGTTGAATGCCTATGCTAAGGATGCCTTTTCCGATACTCGACAAAGGTATTGGAAGCTAGGGTAGAGACATGTTTAGGGTATTGTATCACAGCTACTGCAAGATATGTCATTGAGCTGCACAAACAGCTGTAAGATGGAATATTATCAAAACCGGAGTCTCTTCAAACTCTCAAACTTATCGTCAACTGAGTAACTCGCGTTTGTTCTCCTCTCCCCGAATGACATGCCAAAGATTGCGCAAAGAGAATGCAGACTCAGTAATTGTAGAGATCCCCATCAAGCTCAGCAGTGCCACGCTTGTAATTATACAAGTCTCCATCAAGTTCAGCCTTGCTGCGTTTGTAGTTGTAGAGATCCCCATCGAGTTCAGCGTTGTCCCGCTTATACCCGCCACGCTTGTAGTTGTAAAGATCTCCGTCTAGTTCAGCATTGCTGCGCTTGTAGTTATAAAGGTCGCCATCGAGCTCGGCCTTGTCCCGCTTATAATTGTAGAGATCCCCGTCGAGCTCACTAGTACCTCGTTTGTAGTTATACAAGTCACCGTCTAGCCCGTTGGTAGATCCGACGGCTGCGAATGTCAATACAGAATCTTCTCATGGGGGCTGGTGAGCTACTTACCAGGTAAGGCCGCAGCCATACCGATGGCAATGCACAAGGACAGTATAATTTTGGGAGTATGCATCGTGCTGGCTTGGGATATCTTTCGCCTAGATGTAAGATGTATGCTCTTTGGCACCTAGCAGTATGTGGGTTGGTGTGGTTGGTCTAGTGGGTAAGGCATCAACAGGAATTTCAAAGCCTTTATATAGATCAACACAGCCGGCTACTTGCACGGCATGTCAGAATACTGCACCAAAGTCAGTCATATGAGCGTAGAATGTGGCGAGTAACCGAACGTCGTCATCACTTGTAAATAAATGTATGACGATGATGTACAGCAGAGAAGTTAGATTGTTGCTTGGATCGACGGTGATAGTATTGTTGTGGCAACATTCGCTCTATTGGGTCTTTCCCCTTCACAACCGGGGATAGGACATGAGGTATACTTTGCTGAACCGACTGGCAAGGCAATACTTACCCTGTTGTGGCCCCAGATTTCCAGGAATCAAGTGTAGGTATGTGACACTGTGCTGCATGACATCGATAGTTCAGCGGGGATGCATCATCGTTTCGAAACACATGGTGAAGCTTCCCCCCCATGATAACTGACATGTCCTTAGTCTAAGCATCCAGGAAATATCTGCACATCATCTAAGCAGGCGCAGAAAGATTTCTAGCGCGCGGGGTAGCCGACCATACATGAAGCTCCATATGTTATAAACGGTGTACCCTCAGACTGGCAGCAGCGTTTCGAGTAGTACAAGCTCCCCCCTCGCCCCATGCCTGCATCTTGATCCTGCGGGGAAGTCAGTCAAGGTGGGGATGTTTCACAATTACTCTATGGAAACATGCAATAATGGGTTCTTCATCAACACATCGACTTGGAACCCTACCAACTTCCCCTTTGTAGATGATCACACATTCCCCTCAAACCCTCATTTCAACCCATAACCCCAACAACGCTTCCTCTCTACATTCCTAAGAAAAATGTCCCTCGCAAGGCTCAGCACAATGTACATGGCCCTCAGAAGAGACAGAACCGACAGCACCTCTTCCTCCTCCGAGAGATTGCCATTATCTGACAGTTCAGAAGACTATCGCGATGAGTCCTTCAAAGACCACTTCACCGAAGGCCACCATTGCATGAACCATCAACGCCAACCCCCTTTTCAATGGAGCAGTCTAATCTTCCACCTCATCCTAGCCCTTATCTACGGCGCAGCATTCCTAGCAGCAACGTACCGATCCACAAGCAATATCAACCATCAAGACAGTAAACCTGCACATCTTATCGCATGTAAGCCTATCTCTCCCACCAATCTCAACCCTAACTAGAGTTCCATTAACAGAATTGAACCACACTAGCCCCATTATGGGAAGCCGTACAACTCGAGCGCAAAACCATCAACGCCTCAATCGAGAGCGAAAATCCATTCAAGGGCGCCCCATCTGAAGAACTGGATCACGCATGGCACCAGTTATTCATCAACTCGAATATCCGAGTTACGGCTGAAGATCTAGCGAAGATAAATCGCACGTCCGTCCCGATAAATGATGAGAAGGGGGGGTATTATGCCATTCCGGGTATGTTTAAACCCTATGTGTAGCTCTGATGGATAGGTGTGCCCTGACAGAAATAGATGTATACCACCAGCTGCATTGCCTGGTAAGTCCATTCTACTCTGCCACTTTCATTCCATACATAGCATAGCTAATAATTATAATAACCAGAAATTCCTCCGCCAAGTAGTCTACCACAGCTACTACCACGTCGGAAAACCCACTACCCCGCTTCACATCGGTACATCCCCCATCCTAAATACTCAGTAGATATAGTAACTAACAGCTGCAGAACACTGCATCGACAACCTCCGCCAAAACATCATGTGCAAAGCCGACGTCTCTCTCCTAACCTTCACATGGGACCCGAATGATCGCGCCCCGAAACCCAACTTCGTCATCGAGCACGAATGCGCCAACTGGAACAAGGTGGATAAATGGGCCGAGGAACATCGATTCGATATCTTCGATGAAACTACCCTGATTCATCCGACCCTGGGCCCTTCGTTCCCCGAGGAGGAGTATAAGGCTACGGGGAGGATTCCGGGACATCCGGATTTTCATCCGAATGGGTATCATGGGGATCATGGGGCATAGTAATGGGGTATGTGGAGGGGATATGTTACAGTCTTAATAAAGGAGTGGGAGATTTACTATGCATGGCACGAAATCTAAATATCATTTTGGGTATATACATCTATGATTAGGAGTATTAAGCAGGAATAACACCCTGTGGATGATGAAACGTATTCTTCGGATCCAACTCCTCCTTCAACTCCTGCAACCGGGGTAGATTCGTTCGCCAATACTTCTGCGGCGCATTCTCCATCCTTGGGTCTGGACAGCCCAGATATGCGTGTCCTACGCTCTCTGGCACCGCGCGCGCAAGCACATCATACAGTCCATCGGTGAACTCGTACGTCGTCTCGAATATAGGGCCGAGGGGATTAACCATGAAGAGCTGGACCCAGAAGAGCACGTCTCTGTGAGCGTACGCGGTTGCGTCTTCGGCGACGTCGTTAATCGCTCCGCCTTCCAGACTGAGAGTGACGAACCAGGCTGGCGTGCCGGCGGTGTGGTTGGCGATGTATTCGAAGAACTCGTCAATTCCGGCAGATGGAATCAACGTGTCTTGTCTGAATCCCAGGGACTTGGCATAGAACCAAGTCGGGGTGTTGCCGACTAGCTTGAGGATGGTATCTTCCAGCGCGTGCCCGACCATGCCGAGCCAGTCGGTTAGAACTAGGATGTTGCCTGGATTCTTAGGCGCGAAGTGGTCTTCTAATCCTAAGGCATCGTACTGCTCCTTAGAGCCGAAGAAAAGTCCCTCGAGGATGATGTCCCCGTCGAAAATGACCATGTTGTTGTAGAACTGACGGGTGAGGTTCTTCGCCGAGATGAACGACTGCCAGTCCTTGACGAATTGGGCTTTCTCGGCAGTGCTGCCCAGGTTGAAGGTATACGAGTACTGGACCGCGAGACCCGGGGCCGGCTCGGTGCGAACTTTGAACTCGGTCACGATGCCAAAGTCGGCTGCGGCGCCTTTGACAGCGAAGAATACATCCTGATTCTGAGTATTAGAGGCCCGGACGATGGTCGAGTTGGCCAGCACCACTTCGACTTCTTCGACGTGGTCTAGGGCAAGGCCCCATTGACGCGCGGTAGGGCCGAGTCCGCCGATGGTGAAGTGTCCGCCTGTTTTGATGGTTGGGCAAACGCCGTGCGCCATAGCTCGTTTCCCGTTGTTGTAGAGTTCGATGTCAACGTCATTCAAGGTCGTGCCGGGTCCGATGACTGCTTCGTATGTCTGGTCGTCCATGGAGAATTGGTTGAAGTGTTTCATGTCGACTACTACCGCTCCGTCTGTTCCGCCGAGGCCTGTGTCGAGTACTTGTTAGTGGGAGATGGCCTAGGGGGCTATTTGGCTGAGGGTATGCTACCATAGTTTCCAAAGCTGTGGCCTCCACTGCGTGCCTGCACTTTGTAGTCATAGTCTGAGGCGCATTTGACTATGCCGGCGATTTGTTCTGCTGTCTCCGGGTACGTGATGGCGGCTGGAGTAACCGGGAGGTTGAGGTTGTATTCGTGGACATCGGCAGTCCAAAGAAGCTGGTTTGGGAAAACCGCAAGGGCTGAATTGCCTCCCAGGGCAGATATCAGGCAATCACGCCCTGCTATACTGGTTGTGTTGCCCATGTTGCGAGAGACAGATCTTGGACAGAAGATCAATCGACAAATTGTTCAACAGAGAAAAATCAGGCTGCCATGCTCCTTTTGTTGTGCCGGGAGGTGCCGGCCTGAAGTGGGGTGAGGATCCCATGCCTTGCCAGATGAGATGCACTATTGATCGATGGATACGAACTTCCTTGGTTTGGGTGCAATGTTGAGTCAAAACAGCGATCTCGGCGTCTACTGCCTGTTCGTTGCGCGCCGATCATGCCTCAAACTAATGCAACTTCGATCCGGTCCCCACCAAATCCCCGCCAGACCCAAAATTTGTCTGGTTCTACCCCTGAATTTTTACCTTGTTCATTCAGCTAAGACCAATGGATTGGAAGGAGCTTGAGATGGGACCCATGGCTTGAGAGATTTTAAACTTTGCTTCTCACAATATCTTCACCCGGTTTGTCGCCAGTGAGTCATGTTGTGTTCTTACAGTTTTCTTTCAATTGCGATTGAACAGAAACTCTCCGTCACTACAATAATTCACCGGCAGTAGATGGCCTGATCATAAATAGCATTCATGGCTCGTAAGATGTTTGCATCGAAAAAAAGGCGTTAATATCTGTAGCTTCCCCTTTGGCGACACAGCTAGACATGATCGTTAAATCGCGCTGAACAATGTACTTCAACGCACAGTTGCAGGTACTTCAGATCTACATCTGAAACCTCAAAGCCGGTCCCATCCGCTTCAGCTTCCGGCTCACTGGGTTCGGAGCATTAGTGGTCGTATTGTACGTCGCCAGTGAGTCCAACACCTCCCATTGAATCGTGCCGTTGCCCTCGCGGTAGGTACTCTTGAGTGTGCCCACCGTCTGCAGACTCGGCGTGACGAGAATCTTCCCTGTCGCCACATCCTTGCCGCCAATGACGCGCTCAAACATCTCCAGCGCAAGCAAGGGCTGGTAGAAGGGAACTTCATGGCCACTCTCATACACCCGCACAAAGGCAAACTGCCCTGCCTGGCGCACCTGGCCGTGCGTCACTCCATCCGAGGTGACAATGTTGGTGTAACCTGCACTGCTGAAGTTGGCAGCCTTGACCTGCAGTGACACGGCTTCCCCGCCCAGCCAGTTGCAGTTGAAGTCGGCATCCCCGGCATACATGACCACCGTGACGCCCTGCTTGAGCAGCTTGCCCACATCCTGGATGGTGTTCATGAGTCTCCCGTCGTCACCGGTGGACGAAAAGGCGAGTCCGACAGCGTTGTTGCTCTCTGTGTAGTTGATGTATGCGCCGATGGCGGCCTGCACGGATGCCTTATTCAGGTAGTCGACGTAGAACTCGTAGGGGAACGGGTCGGGAGTGAGTTCGCGGAAGTCGTACTCATCCCGACCGGAGTAGATGTCGTAGATCTCCTCGACCTCGTTGGCGCAAAAGTTGTCGGCCGTACTGCAGACCTCGTCAATGCCTCGGGCGGCGCAGTCGTAAAGCTGGTCGAGGCAGTTTCCGGGGCCGTAGAGGTTGTTGTACATCAGCGAGCTGATGGACTTGTTGAATGGCAGGTAGTCGTATGTGTTACCCGGATATACCTGTGGATGGATTAGTGTCGAAGCAGTAGAAATTACAGATAAAAATCGGTAGGGTACCGTAAAGTTGTAGTAGGCTTGGTATTGAATGATTGGGTCATACCAGCCATTGCCGATCATCACACTGCCCAGTTGAATCTTCTTGGCTCCCGGCTGGAGATGAGCATTCTGCTCCTCGATGTACTCATTGAAAACGGGGCCGTAGTGACCGCCATAACTCTCCGTGGTGAAATGGAAGGTCTCGCGCGAGTACTGGGGAAATGCGCCCATGAAACCCTGCAGGGCGCGATAGAAGTTGGGGGCAGCGTTGTCGGTGGAATTAGCCGTAAGGCTCACGTTCGGGTAGGCGTAGGTGCCACAGGACATGTCCGCGGCATAGTCGGGGCAGACAGGGGAAGGCAGAGCAATAACATTGTCCGTGGAGGAATCTACGTAGCCGGGGACCGGAATGCTGTAGGAGAAGCCAGTCTGCACGGGCTGGTCAATGTAGAGCATGTTGCTGGCGTTGTTCCAAGAGTACGGGTTGTTGTAGACGGAGCCATTGGCGTCAATGCCGCATGGGCCGTGTTCTTGGAACAAGCCGATCATAGAGGAGGAACCAGGACCTAGGAATAGTTAGCAATTGGAACGAAATGATGACCGGGGTGAGACATGCCTCCATTGATCCAGACGGTCAAGGGAGCCTCGGTGGGATCTTGATTGCGCGCCTCGAAGAACCAGAAGAAGATGTGCTCGTGCTCGGCGACATCGAGATAACCTGAGAAACTCTTGACGCTGGGATCGGTCTCGCAAATGCCGGTGGGGACCTGTTTGTAGCGGACGGGGATGTCAAGATATCCCTTGGTGGGAATGAGATCCGTGGGTGGAGACACAAACTGGGCCCTGGAGACGGGCAAAGCAGCCACCAAGGCAGCAGCCCAGAGAGTGTACATGTCGGACAGCAGAGATCAGATGGGGAAGGAAACTCTCAAAGTGAAGGTATTCAGAGCATGCTCTCACCCTTTTATCAAGAAAGTTTGCTATCTCTTATCGGAAAAGAGAGAAGTGTGGAGTAACAATGCTTAGGTGACTGGGGAGATAAGTACCAAGTTGAGCAGACGCGTGACCTGCCGATCGCTGGCAAAGCCGACGGAGTCCGAGTCACCGTTAGCAACAAAAACACCATTCTACATTCTACCATCTTCGATTTATTATCATGACTCCACATTTCTTTTTCGTTCGAGCTTAGCTCTTATGCTAACGGATATATCTTCTTCACACTAACTTATCCACACTTGACGCCTCACAGTCAGGGAATAATTCCATGTCTTGAGCCGTTCATTGCTGAAACCATTCAGTCCACTGACACAGAGTAGATTAGTCGTCTTGTTCTGTGTAATATACATGTTCTGTTCAGCTATGCCTTATGGCATTCATGACTTCAGCTGCCCAGGTTCCACCATCGATTATTTTGGTCCCTCAATCAGCACCTTGATTGAGCCACTACTCGGATCCGACGCCGTCTTAAACGCCTTGGAAGCGTCTTCAAAGGCATAGACATGCGTGATCATCGGGTCCAAATCAATCACTCCGCTGGACATCACTCGGATGGGGCGCGCCCACATGTTGACATAGCGCTGCTGGAACTGCAGATCAATCTCGCGCTCGCTCAGTCGCATGAATGGAAACTGAAGCTTGTCCTTGCCCACGCCGACCACAAACACTTTGCCCCCAAACTTGACACTCTGAATAGCATTGGCGATGGAACTCTCGACTCCCGTGCATTCCAGGGCAACCACGGGCTCGCAATCCTCCCCACCCATCAACTGCACCACCCGAGCTGCGAATTCCTTGTCCGTCTCCTCCGGCCGAACCTGCAGTGTTCGAGCAGCAGGCACGAACTGTTGTGCAAACTGTAGACGCGCCGGGTTAACATCGCTAATCACAATGGGATACGCCCCAGCAGCGCGGCAGCATTGCAGCACCACCAACCCAATTGGCCCTGCGCCACAAATCAACACCGGATCTCCAATCTTGACCCCCGAACGAGTCACTGCGGTGAGTGCGACACTCAGTGGCTCCAGCAAGGCGCCTTTTGGAAATGATAGATCGCCGATCTTATGGCACCAGATGGCGGGATGGTTCACGTAGGTCCGCAAGAGACCATGAGATGGCGGACTGGAGCGGAACTGCAGATTCTTGCACCCATTGTAGCGTCCGGTAAGGCACGGTTCACATGCCTTGCATACAATGTGAGGTTCCACCGCGACGCGATCTCCGACTGCGAGTGTCGTGACGGAAGGGTGGACCTTGACGACAAGGCCTGCAGACTCATGCCCCAATATATGCGCTTGGTTTACCTTCCACGGACCGATCCCGCCATGCTTCCAGAAGTGCACGTCCGAACTTGATCGCTACGATTAGCTATCATCACGGATGATGGGTTTGGACGGCACGAATTACCCGCAAATTCCACTAAACTTGATTGCTACTGTGATTTCTCCCTCTGCTAAGCTTGATCCATCGGTTATGTGATCGAGGGTAGGTTCTGCCTCTTTGATGAAGAGATTATGGTCCGGGTCTGTATAGACCCCTCGGTTTGGAAGCTGCAATTCCATATTGTTTATGGACGTGTCTCTGAATACTTTTTGCGAATTCTGAATCAACTTATCTGGCTTGTGATGATGGTATAGAGTCGTCTTGGGAATATTTAAGCCATACTCATGGATCGATTGCTATATACATCCCCCGACGTATGGGGAAATATACGCGGGGTTGGGAAGAGCGGGGGCGCGCAACCCCACTGCCATGCCGGATGATCGTTAACGGAGATGCTGCAGTTCGCATGATTTACTCCGTCAGGCAATTTGTAGCGGTACAATCTTGGTCCGAATCTCTTCTGTACAAGGGGGGAGACAATAATCAATATTGTGAGGCTATCAAAAGACCCAACAGCATCTATGCTGGAGAAAGGCTTCAATAGAACATACTGTTATGATCTGATAACTACTAGTTAGTAGTATCAAAGATTAATGATCATCATCCTTAACTGATGGAATTGGGGAAAGTTGAGAGATAACGGAATCCGCGGAGACCGATCGTCATCTCTTTACTTTGGATAAGTTCAACTCACCTGCTATTAGCACTTCGCCCACAATGAACATTAACCTCTTCGGTCAAAATGCAAAAATCAGAAGAAGGATTCACCTGGACTGCCAAAGGTGGTTCAGTATGGTATGTAGTAACTTACCTCGACAGAGTGGTTATAGTTACTCGGCTAAGTATACAGTGAAGGATTGGCCACTGCGGCCGTTGTCCCATCCACTCCACCGTCAGGCCTCTCTTTCGGATATGATGTGATTGTTGTCGGTGCGGGGTTTGCCGGTCTCACTGCTGCCCGCGACCTTGCTTTTAGAGGCAAAAGCGTGCTCCTCGTTGAAGCTCGAGATCGCATTGGCGGTCGTTGTTGGACTTCAGAGGTAGGAGACGATACCAAGGTGGAGCTTGGTGGCACATGGGTGCACTGGCAACAACCACATGTATTCAGCGAGCTGCAACGATATGACCTCGCTAATTTTCAGGAAACTGTGGCGTTTCCTGAGAACGGTGAGTCCGTGGTCAAGGAATCGCGGTCTCACCCTGCTAGAGAGCAGGATCCTGCTGAAGGACAAGTCATGCTGGAGCGACTAGAAGAACTAATGGAGAAGTTCTTTGATGTTGATGGGCAAGGCGGGCGCAGTGTAATCCAATTCCCGTTTTGTACGGCTTCGAGTGTCGAACAGAATCCGGACTACCTCGAACTGGATAAACTCAGCCTAGCAGATCGTATTGCGCAGCTCGATGGTTGCAGCCAGAAGGGAAGGTCAATGCTTAGCGCGCATACCGCTTCCTTCTATGGCGTCTCGCCGGAAAAGGTTTCCTTTGCCGAAGTGCTTCATACCCATGCATTATGCAACTTTGATCCTGCCATGATGGAGATAGCCACCATGAAATACAAGATCGCACGAGGCACCACGGCCTTCGCGCGCGCAATCCTTGATGACTACAAGGGAACCCGGATCTTTGGTTCTCCTGTGACATCGATCACTCAGACAGGTGGAGAATTCCCCGATTATCCTGTTACTGTCACCCTGAAAGATGGAAATCAGTTTATGTCCAAATTCGTCATCTCGACAATGCCCATCAACGTGATCTCATCCATCACCTTCGATCCCCCTCTATCTACACTCCAAAGGGAAGCTTTCTCCACCGGCGTTACCCCGGCAAAGTCAGATAAGCTCCTTGTATGCACATCATCCGATCTTAAAAACGGCTTCAATGTTACCTGTGAGGGAGGTGGTATGCCCTATGCAAGCGGCTTTGCAGATGGAAAGCACGGCAACTACACCCTCCTAACTTTGCTTGCCCATCCAGGTAACAATCTGGACCGCTCAGAGGAGAGCATCCGTCTGGTGGAGACTCTTCGACCCACGGGCATACAGGTTGACTCTGCATGTGGCCATCTCTGGTCCGAGGATCCATATGCTGGCGGGGTCATGCCGGTTCGGGGACCTGGATTCTTGCAAAAGTATCATGATGCGATAAGGAGGCCACACGGACAGGTGTATTTCTGTGGGTCGGACTTTGCGGATGGCTGGCGGGGGTTCATCTCAGGTGCCCTTCGAAGACGCCTATCGAGTCACTAGAGACATATTGCGACAGAACTAAAATATGGGGGTTAGTATGTACTTGAGAATTGTATTTGTAGCATCGAACCTCATCTTGAAGCCTCCGGGCATGCTCTCTTTTATGGGTTCTCGGTGATAGATTCTTTCATCCAAGCAGAGACCCACTGCAACGTGTGTTAGTATATATTTAGTTGACAAACAGTCATCGACTAAGGCAGACAAGCGGTGTCATAGACATGAAGATAATGAGGTCACCCTAGTCAAAATGGTAAAAGGCTAACAATTAAGCTTATTTTCTCTCAGGTGGAGGAGATACTAGAAATGAAAGCAGAGGTAAAGTAGCTGTATGCACCTCTGTGCATTCAGCTGCATCGCTATAGATACGGGCAGAGTATCTTACTGTACGAAAGACATGAAGAGTTGAGTAAGTGGGACGCCGAGGTATGTTATTTTTAGTAGTTTCGCGACATCATTGGCTGAATACGTAGGCGGAAGGTACTAATACACCATCTAACCATACGTACCATACATAGTTATCAGCTCCTATGACTGAAATGCACTCATTGCAGGCACCGGCTTCTCCCACGTGATGAGTAATAATACCGAAACATCAGCTCCATCTGGTGCCACTTTCCCAGGACTGGCTCGGTTTGCCGGAAGCGCCGTCACCCGCGATCATACGACGCCCACCACCGAATCTTGGCCGAGGATCACCGCCCGCCTTTCGCCTTCAGGCAGCGCAATTGGAGATGGAGCTCAGTTCAGTTCAATTCACTTTGTCCACAGTCCATGCCTCGCCTTTCCTTTCTCGGTCGCTTGTGATTTGGACTGGCTGGCCACCTACTCTCCCTCGGACCCTTTCTCCCTCTGCTACATCATCATCTTTGAATCATTTGCCGTCGTGGGACAGCATTGAGGGGGTGATCTTTGCAAAGTACATGCGCCCCTCTCTCGGTTTAGCCTCTTTAGCATAACATAGCAAGAAGTCAAAATCTGCTCCGCCGGGACGGAGAGCCACTGATCCAGTCACTGGCCGCGCCCTCAACCGCCCAACGGTTCGATAAGATCTAAAACGTACCTTGCCTGCCCTGCCCTGTCACGGTCGTCTCCGGAAGCCACGACAACCCTGTCAGCGTCAAACCTTCTCTCTCTCTCTCTTCCTACTACCTGCATCGCCTGGACAGATCATCAACCAGGCTGTATTATTGCAAACCAACCCAGTCTCCCATCATCCATCTATCCACAATTACCCTCAATTACTGCTCGTCTGCTTGTCCCTGAGCCAGACTCCACTGTTCATAATCTAGTCTCGTTAGCGCGTCTGGTTGGGGTGGGTGATACCCTCGCCGGTGACTTCAACCCGCAACTAGCCGCATCGCTCCTGACCTTTCTTTCCCCTCAGGTATGCCTGCCTCTTCATAGAACAGTCACCATCACAACTACTTTGTTCGATCGCGCTATCTTGCTCATATCCGTCTCCTGGTCACTAACCTATCACTAAACGCTAGCCGGAATTCACCTCCGTACTACCTGCCGCAGGGCACTGACGCTATCGATTGCGGTCCCGGCCTTGGCCGCTGGACGGAATGGCACTGCCCACCATGGGGAGCGACTTTCAGCTGTTCTCTCCTCTCCAGTCCTCGGACAGAAGAGACTCACAGGCCGACTCCACGACTTTCGCCCAGTCTACAACGGAAGATTCGAGCCAGGATTGGACGCAGTGGATGAGATGGGACGACAAGGGCTTCGCCGATGGAGCAAAGGACGTCTCCCAATCCCCTTTTGATACTACCTTCACCTCACCCAATGCGTCAATTGGCAACACAGATCTCTTTCAAAAGTCCGACTTTTCTCCTGACATCAACCTGGACTGTACCAATATTCCTTTCGATTCCTTACTCGACCAAAATTACGGTGGCGTGTGCCAATCGAAGATCGGATCCATTGGTACCGACCTCCAGTCGGCGCTTTCCGCTACGTCAGGTTCCCCGTTATCCTCGGAAGGAACTGCTCGCAAACGCAAGTCGGGCAGTGATGATGATGGGTCAACCGTGAGTGGAGTTGTCCCGACCGGTAAGAAGATGCCGGCCAAAAAGCGAGCGCACAACGTCATCGAGAAACGCTATCGAGCCAACCTCAATGAGAAGATTGCCGAGTTGAGGGATAGTGTACCCAGTCTCCGAGCGTCGAAGAATGCATCGGGTAGTCTAATGGATGACGACGACGAAGGGGTCACTCCCGCCAACAAGTTGAACAAGGCCTCTATCCTTTCAAAAGCCACCGAGTACATTCGTCACTTGGAGATCCGGAACAAGCGACTTGAGGATGAGAACATGGCCTTGAAGAACCGACTTCGTCAAGCGGAAAAGGCCGTTGATCAATCACTGACCTCCGCAGCATCCGTCTCCTCACCCAGCAACTACACCGTTTCCACAGAGTCTGGCGCGAGCTCATCCCCCAGTGTGTTCTCGCATGTCGAGGATAGTCCTAGTGACCACTCGCCGACCTCTCTATACCCCCCTGAAGGTTTGCTGAAGGTACCCGATGCCTTCAAACGCATGCGAGAGGAATCCACTGCCAAGGATAACGCGTTTTCTCAATCATACATCCAATACCCTAGCAGCAACAACAATGTCTCCTCCCCATGTGGTGGTCGTACCAGGCGCTCATATTACCCCAACAAGTACATGCTTGGTGCCCTTGCTGGTTTAATGATCGTCGAGGGTATGGGCAGCGAAAAGAAAACGGAGTCAACCGCCAAGGGGCTGCTGGCAATGCCGATGAACCTGTTCGGAAACCTGCAAGCTAGCCTCCAGAGCCCCACCGCAGCATATTGGCTTGTAGTGGCTCGAAACTTTTGGTACTCATGGCATGCACGAGCCATCTCGCATTTTCTTATTCTCGCCACCCTTGTCGTCGGCAGTGCATTCATTGTCTTCGTTTACCTCTTCAACGCTACTCCTGGTGAACAGTCCTCTTCGCTGAAGACTTCGTCACCGTCTGATACATCGTCAAATTTCCGACGTCAGGCCTGGCTGACAAGCATACAGCGAGTCGGGGTCCCGCGCCACCGCTTCTTCCACGAGTGGTACGTCGTGACCTCGCGCTGCTTCGAGTACGTCTTGCGATGTCTCCTGGGTTGGAAGCTGTATTCTTCGATTACCGGGGTTACCGAGGAGGACGAAAAGGGACGAGTTAAGACCTGGGATATTGCTATTGACGCACAACTGGCTGGTGGCGACGCTGAAATCAGCAAGAGTCGTCTAGTCCTTACCATCTTTGCGGCAGGTACCCTGCCTAGGAGTCCGATGAGGATGATGCTCAAAGCTCTCCACTGCCGTATTCTGCTTTGGAGAGTTGGGGACCGCGGCTCTTGGAGCTTCGACTTGTCGAATGATGTCGCTCGTTCATTGGCAAGGTATCAATGGGACCTCGCTCGGACCATGCACAAGGCTATGCCGAAAGATCATCCTGATGCCCTGCCTAGCCACCTAGCCGCGTTGTTGCAACTGGACTGCGATGAAGTCATGATTGACAGCATCGTGCAAAGAGCGGCAAACCTCACTTGGAATCGTCCCACGCAAGAAGGCACTGATGATGACCAGGCTCTACTGGATGTGGTGGAAGAAGACCCTGCCATTCAATCTTCCCTGGATGCCCTCGCAGCTTGGTGGTCTAGCCATCTCTTGCAACGGGCGCTGCTCAGATACTTCGAAGCTAGCTCCGGTGGTCCTGACGCGAAGAAGAGTCGCGATCTATTCAAGGCGAAGATCAAACTGGCTTTGGACGTCGCTCCTCAGCCTTCCGCCGCCCATACTCGAGCGTTGGTGATGAAGGCAGTATTCTTCGAGCAAGACCGCGCTGCGAACATCGGAACTGTCCTCGCCGCGTTGCCGAAGGATAAAGGGAAGAGCAAACAGAACCAAGCATCCAACTTTCTTGACTCATCTCTTCCTGTGTCCGTGCGGGAAGAGATTGCGATCTCGGTTCGCTGTGCAATGATTGCGGCTATATTTACGGCTAGGACTACAGGCGACAATTCTCTACCGGCATCCTTCACTATCCAACGAGCTGTCACATGGTTCAATCAGTTGCCGCTTGACCCGGTGGATCTGACGCTTCTCGGGTTCGCGTCTGTGTACCATCTGCTCCATGTCCTCGCCTCTGACACCGACTATCTGTCGTCCTCGGAGTCCTCTTCGCCATCTTCTCCCACCTCGCGCAGTTCCACCCCGTCGTCTTCGCTTTCTTCTGATGAAGAGGAAAATGACAAGCTACGTGTGTCGCAGAAGCCCGAGATTTTGCCGCAATCCATTCCGAATTTGGGTCGTGTGGCATCCGAACTCATGTACTGGGCGCGGAATGCATACAATCCGGCCTTCTACGGTTTCACTTCTCAGCTTGTTAAGGTCATTGAAACCGAATGCACCTCGCTATGCCATAGTGCTGGGGTCGATGTGACCGACTACTCTTGCATTCAGGAGGAGAAGATCAGGTCGAAACAACTGAAAGACAAAAAGAAGAAAAAGTACCCAAGAAGGTCGTGAGCACTCGTCGATTAGACCAATCAAAATAGAGAAGAAAACAAAGACGGATTTTTCGACTTTTGGCGCTTCTGGTCTCGATGAAAGTGACTGCCGCCTGGAGCCCAGCAGTTCCATAATCTCGTGACAAAATTCCCCACCCGGATACAAACTTTCAGAGATATCACGGTTACGTTCCCATTAATGATATGACTAAGTCGGAATCGTCTTCCTTTCACGTGTATTTTTCCATCTTGCTTTACTTCAAAGGCAATTTATTGTTGTGTGTGACTGGGCCGCGCAATCGCTGATTTGCACCCTACCCCATTTCTTGTTGCCCGGTCAAAGGCGTTACTGGATTGTGACACTGGTCTGTTCAATTATCCTCCCTCAGCTTCCGGAATGGAACAGAAATAGATGTTTGAGACCTTTCATCATCTGTCTGTAATTCTTAATAATGTTTTGCGATAATCGTATCCAATGTGGCCCCGGGGCTGAAATCTTTCCTTAAGTGCATATTTGGATTCCAGTCATCATTCATGTATGCATGCGTATCCATGACTGAAGATGGTGCCTGTCTCAGTTGTGTCGCGGTTCCTGTCGCGGATGTCTCATGTTGTCGGGTTTCTCCTGGGCCATGTCTCAGGCCCGTTACTTACCCCTGGCTATGTCTCATGGTCGAGCAGGATCATTTTTGCTTTCGGCCAAAACTTTCAGCATGTGGAATAGACTTTGGCAGTCCCCCGACCACGCGGCGTGCATCCCCTGGTCCCGTGCCTGATCCAGCCTTGTAAGCACATTAAGCTTGCGGGCATTAAGCTAGCAAACTTTCACTGTCAAGGTTCAGACCAGACAGTGCCGATATGCCAGAGATGCATTTCACGACTGAACTGCGCCGCGTCTTCACCTCATTACGTCGCATGTTGCCTGAAAATGGTCGAGAGGCAGATGTTGGATGTAATTCCTAGCAGGTGACAGTTGACCTGGCTAGAACAAAAAATCTCATGGTATGGTGGAAAATATGGTGGCATTGGAATGGTCGATGGGGGCCTCGACAAGCCTCAGTGATGAGCTAATCAGGTACTTTCGGCGGAAGCCCTGAGTGAGTGAGACAGTCCCAAGCTTGCACCGTTGCAACCGGCCCAGGTCGAGCTTCAATGCCCGATGGTTATCGGTCGGGATGCAACCATTATCCCGGGTTCCCCAGGCATTCAAGCGATCATAGATTCCCGTCCCTCCTTGTCAATCGTGCTCTCCATGGGGATCCAGCCAGTCCATGACGTCAGTTCTATTGACTGCGTCGATATGGGAAGGATGGAATTGAACATGTCTCTGTCAAGCATGGCCAGCCACTCAGCATGCAGATGTGTTTTAGATGCATTCGACAACAGAGTCTCTGTTAGTTGCGCGAGTAACGTATTCCTGGATACTCTACTCGGTGCATTAATTGAGCTGCTCAACTCCTCTCATTTTAGGCTGGGAGCCAACACCACCCAGGCCAGAAGCTTACATCACCACCAAGTCATGTATTTGTAAACCATTTAGAAAGACGGGCGAATGCAACAATCTGCTCTCCACAGGATGATGATTGGAGACTATTCGGGTCTGTGGACGCTGCAGCTACATCCACCTTCTTTCCGTTTCCGGCGATGCCATTCCATTGCACGGCAGACCAACAATTGATTGGCCACACGCTGAAGAAAGCTTAACGGGAGCCAAATCTGAAAGACCCGCTTTTCCTTGGCCATTATACTCGAGATCGAAGCTTGCCATGCTGGCTAGAGGAGCTCTTGTGCCTGTTTCCCACTGAGATAGACAATTTCCAGGCACGCTTCCGCGGACCCTCCCAGCCCCCCACTCTTCTAGGTTGCAATCGTCTGATACATGTGGAAGCTGAGATGTAGTGTCTGGATGCGCCAAAATCCTGAGAGCACGACACACTGGAGATCTGCCGGCCCAATCCAAAATGGCCTCTGAAGCCCCGATCCGGTTACATGACGGCATCGAAGAGATACTCGGGAGTCGCTTCGGGACGCCACGATCGGAACCATATGTATAGTAGCCCGACTTGTCATATATGTAGCTGGAGAATACCCTGTTGGTGTGACTCGGTCTCTTCCATTCCCACCTTCTGGAAACGTGCGCCTCCGTTGACCCGACATAGATATCAACACTGAACCTAGCCCGACACTTTTCGCCTACGCAGATAGCCTCAAGGCAAAGACATCATGGGGGTAGATCATCTACAGCCCGGGGAGGCCCGACAGATAGACTACCATCCACCGATGAATGTAGCGTTGGCCACGCCCATGTTCATTCTCGCTGGTGCATTGTTCGTTTTGTTTGTTGGCCGTACGCTAATACGACTTTACCATCGCCGGCGTTTACGCGAAATTCTACGAACCGATAAACAGGGTCGATTTAAACGGAGGAGCACCATCTCGACCAGTCTATACAAGCATGTATTCCATGCGCCACTTCTATCCGTACGCCATAGTCGCTACTTGAAACTCGGCAACAACATCCACATGGGCATCCTTCCGCTGCGGTTTGAAGCAGCTCTGCTAGCCGTCTACATAGCAATCAACATTGTCTTCTTCTTTGTCATGGTTGACTGGTGGAAAGACTGGGACGAAGTGATCTTCGAGTTTCAATATTCGGCAGGTAGTATGGCGGTGCTGAACCTGCCCGGGCTGGTTTTGGCAGCAGGCCGCAATAACCCTTTGGTACCTCTTCTGGGCATCAAGTTCGATTGTTTCAATCTCATGCACCGTTGGGTTGGACGGACCATCATTTTCTCGGCGCTTGTCCATATGATTGCTGCTGTTAGGATGAAAGTGTTCGAAGGTAAGTATGGTTGTGCGATTGGGCGAAGTGGAAAGCTGACGGTCGACAGAGGGCGGCTTGGCCGCGGCCACACTTCTCATCTGGAATACTAAGTTCTTCATCTGCGGCTTGGTTGTATGTTTTATCGCTGCAATAGGCTGAGGCCGATCGCTGATAAATCCGATGAATGCAGGCCATCTTTGCGTTCACAACGATTCTATTCCAGTCCTTGTCGCCAGTCAGACATGCATTCTATGAAGCATTCCTTCACTCCCATATCGCTTTGGCCATTATGGCATTCGTGGGATTATGGTATCACCTGGAAGGCATGTCGCATCAATATGCCATGCTGGTTACAGTGGTCCTCTGGGGCTTCGATGTAAGCATTCTGTCCCTTCAGAGGGATGAGAGACAGTCCATTCCACGTGTCAAATTTCATCGAGTATGGCTAATAGTATGCAGAGAGCAACCCGACTGGCATGTGTTATCTGGCGCAATATTGGCACACGATGCTCCAAGGCTACCGTGGAGATGCTCCCTGGCGATGTGGCGCGCGTGAATGTTACCGTGGCACGGCCATGGAGGTTCAAAGCTGGCCAATATGCGTACCTGTATATGCCATCAGTGGGTTTGTGGACTTCCCATCCATTCTCGGTAGCCTGGACATCGAAAGACGGAACAAGTGTGATTGATAAGGATGCCACCAACTCCTCCAACGACTCCCTCGATCGTGCAGTAGGAGGGTCCCAGGAGACGACAGTATCTTTCCTGGTCAAAGGACGCGATGGACTCACTAGTAAGCTCGTACGAAAGGCGGGCAACTCGCCCGAGCGGACATTCAATGCGATCACCCTTGCAGAAGGGCCATACGGTAAGCCTTCCCATGCATAGCTCAGACAGTATCTGACAAGAACAGGGGGCTTGGAGTCACTTGACTCATATGGATCGGTGCTTCTGGTCGCGGGCGGCATTGGTATCACGCACCCAATCGCCTACCTCCTCGAGATCGTGAACGGGTTCGCATCCCGGTCAACTGCTGTCCGACGAGTGACCCTCGTCTGGGTCGTCCGCAGCTTAGGTGAGTCGACCCGAAGGACTTTGTTCAAGCAGCCATAACTTACCCCTTGTTAGACCACTTGTCCTGGATTCAGCCCTGGATGGTATCCCTCTTTAGCCACCCAGCCCTGCAAGGGCCGAACGTGCCAAAACAGGAATCATACTTTGAATTCCCCGAGCTCGCCCTGTCCATCCAGATCTACCTCAGCACTCGCGACAGCAGCCCCGAAGATTTCTCCCCGGAGTCACCATGGGCCATTTCCGCCCCAACAGGAGTGGCGATAAGTATCAACACCGGCCGGCCATCCTTCCGGGACACTCTGGATGTCGAGATGGCGCACCAGGTCGGCGCAATGGCTGTGAGTGTTTGCGGGCCTGGCGAGATGGGTGACGATGTGCGTCAGGTAGTGAGGGCGAAGCAAGGGAACAAGAAGGTGGACTTTTACGAGGAGACATTTTCATGGTAGTTAACTTACTGACTTTTGTGTTTGCTTACCCTTCACCAAGTCTGATACTTCCATATTCCGGTTTCTTTCTAACTACTGTACCCGAGACTGATACACACATAATATATCCCAATCCAATATTAACCACTAATACCACCATCCCCATCCTACAAACCCTAACCCCATCACATCACAACTTACTCCCCCTAATCAAATGCGCATTAACCGGCGTCAACGCCCTCCCCCTAACCAAAAACCCCTCAATATTCTCCATCGCCAACCTCTCAAACCCAACATGCGTATCCACCGTCCCCCCGGCATTATGACTCATCATCATAACCCTCGAATTGCCCGCCAACCTGGGATGCACAAACGGTTCATTCGCATGAACATCCATGCCCACACCACTCAACCTCCCACTCTCAACCGCCTCCACCAACGCCTCCTCATCCACAAGCCCCCCCCTAGCCACATTTACAAACCGACTCCCCCGCTTCATCTTCCCAAACATCTCCCGATCCATCAACACCCTCCCCGCAAACGGCGTCGCCACAACCACGCAATCCACCCGTCCCAACATCTCCTCTAGACTCTTCACGTACTCTGCCCCGACTTCTTCCTCAACCCGCTGCTCCTTCCGGATAATATCATGGTAGAGAATCTTCATCCCAAACGCAGCGTGCACCTTCCTTGCAATCGTATACCCGATCTGCCCGAGCCCGATGATCCCCAGGACTTGCGTGCTGGGGTTCCGTGCCGTTAGGGGTGAGTTCGTATGTGCATCGAGGAATCGTGTCGAGTTGATGCTGTGCGCTGCGGAATGGGACCATCGCAGGTTCCGGAATACGCTCAGGATGAGGAGGAGGGCCATGTCGGCGACGGATTCGGAGGATGCGGCGGCGCCGTTGCAGTAGAGGATTCCTGTATCATTATCGAATTTGTATTAGTATATCT